AATTACGGGCATGTGCTACCACGTCCGGCTGATTTTTTGATTTATTGTAGAGATGAGGTCTCGCCAAGTTGCCCACGTGGGTCTCGAACCCGCGGGCTCAGGCAATCCACTCACCTCAGCCTCCCAAAGGCGCGGGATTACAGGCTGAGCCACCGAGCCCGGCTAGTTTTTAATATATTGTAGAGACGAAGTCTCACCAAGTTGCCCAGGCTGGTCTCAAACCAATGGGCTCAGGCAATCCTCTCACCTTGGCCTCCCAAAGTGCTGGGATTATAGACATTATAGACATGAGCCACCTGCCCAGCTAGACCCTTCCTTCTAAGGAAGAGCTGGCAGCATCTCCCTTCCATGCTGGTCAGACATGCTGAAGCCCAGGCAGCCTACAGGCAGTGTGGGCAGGTGGGCAAGGCCCTTGAGCCAGCACGCCCATACTTTTAAGAAACAGTTAAGTACTAAGAACAAAGAGACATGACTTGCATGACTTATGCAACCTACTCTCAAACAGTTCAGGAAAAAATAATCACATGCATACGGCCAGAAGAAGCCTGAACGGTAAAACGTGGCAAACGGTTAACACTAGAGAACCCGGGTAGAGAACCCGGGTAGAAACTAAGAGTTGTAACGAAAAACCGGGCCGAGGACAACCGAACTCTCCCAGGTAGGAAGGGAAGTGGAGGTGGGCAACACAGGCAAGAGCTGCGCAGGATGACTAGGAGAATCCCTGTCTGGAAAGCGTGTTCAACTGAGTCACGAACCACAGACAGGTTAGTGAGCTACGACCAGTGACTACGATTGTGGCAATCACAGAGTCCCCGCGACCTTGGTCAAGCAGGTGGTTTCTGAAGCCTGGGGGCGGCCAGAGAGTAGAGGGGGGATGGCCTGCGCCAGCAAGTGTGGAGACAGCTGCACAAAGGCACAGGGTCCAGGGAGGCCAGGCAGAGCCACGACCGAGGGGGCAGCCGGGAGCGGGACCCAGGCCCAAGTGGAGGGAGGACAGCAGGGGAGGCCAGGTTCAGGGGCCACGGAAAGGCATGAGATTGAAAACGAAGGAGCTGGCTGCTCCTAGGGCTCCCTCACCTTGTGATAAACCTCTGGTGGAGAAGTGACAAGGGTGGGGCAGAAGGAGGTGACACCGTGCGACAGGATCTTCCGGGCCACCAGATCGACCCCCGAACCCACATCCTCCGTGGCCAAAGAGAAGTCAACACCAAATCCACCTGCGGCCACAGAAAAGGAGTCGTCGCGCGGGGCTCGCAGCTCCTCCCCAGGGCCCCTCGCGGGCGCCGAGCCGCACCGTTGATCTGCACGTCGATGAAGCCCGGCGCCAGGATGCGGCCCCCACAGTCCCGCTGTTCGTCGGCCACGCGCCGCTCCTCAAAGAAGAGCTTCTCCGGGTCCAGGATGCGGCCCCTGCGCACCCACAGATCCTCCCTGCGGACAGAGCGGGCGGCGCTCGGTCGGTCAGCCG